CTGAGTGTTTGTACGTGCCGATTGCCTGAGATTTGTCATCTGTCATCCTCTCTGTATTTGGCTGTTTGTCACATCCTGTTTCTCCTTTTTAATCTTTGATATAAGAGTACAAAGAAGTCATGCTTCTTTTCTGTCTTTTTTCTTCTGCTCTGTCCTCTCTGCGTGTCTGACACAGTGACATCTGTCTCTTGCATTAGCATCAAAGGCTAAGCAACATGAAACACATCCTATAAAGTTGTAGGTTGAGTGTCACTAGAATAGGTGGGATTTTCACTATAAGTGCAAATGGTTTTCTTAGTGATTATTGTGGTAAACAAAATAGTCTGTGGATACTTAATAAAAAGAAGAAATAAAATGCCAGAAAGCCATTCACAAATGTTGATGAGTACTACCACAAATAATAGTCACTTGCCTGCAAATCTAAAAACAAGGAAACAGCAATAATTTGTAATGCCATGAAGATATTAAACCTGCAGTTGTTCTTCTGACTAAAATTGGCTGACTGACAATTGATGTCTTAAAGAAACAAGACTTTACCCGAGATTGACTCATTGTACAAACTTATTATTACAGTTTTGTCAGCAGATACTTGTTGCAGTTGTTTGTTGGTAGGAAATTGGCGTAAACGTTGTCACTACCTGAACTAATTGGTAGAAATAATATATTTGAATTCTTTTCTGTTCTACTTACAGGAGCACCAATATGACTATTGCACATTTTTTGTAATAAAACACTGTACATCTTGAACTTATGAAACGCCTCTGGGTGATATTTGCTGCACAGAGCGGGTAGTGAATCTGGATGGTGGGAGTCTGCTGCACCTGCTCCTACATGAGCAGAACTCTCAGAGCGGCGCCTTTTTTCTTTTTCAGCTGCAGTATCTCCATTCTGCTAATTTATTTTTGCGTAAAGTCCGACAAGAGGTAGTATATTGAAGTTACTGTTCTCCATGGTGTGCCTTTTGCGTCCGCCCCCATCCCCCTGCACAGGTGGTGCAAAGGTGCTGAACAGGCCTGCTTATGTTCACAGTCTCGCAGCTGAGCACAGTAAAGCCCGATCCTTCCTGCATAGCTTTCATTCTGGCTGCTTCTTTTCTCTAGTGGGAACCAGTTTACTCAAATGGCATATATACTGTAATCATCTTCATCTGCAGGCACAGATGGGCAGTCATGTGCAAATACAGTACATTTGCGCACACATAGGCACAGACACATACACTCAGACCTCACCAAATACACCACATATACAAAGACATTAGTACAGAGAGTACAGACGGGAGAAAGTGGTCTTTGTCCGAGTTCAGGTTTCACCTACATACCTTTCAAGGCACTGCTGTGTTGTGTAATAACTCACACACTCACAGACTTTTGGAGAAAGTGTGTCCAAAGGCTGAGGGCAAGGTCTGAGCACAACACTTGGGTGGTCCGTCCATCCTTTCCAGCGCTTTGCTTTCCTGTGTACCCGCACCACCACAGTGACGTATTGTGGTTCTGACCAGCTCTCTTTCTCTCTCTCTCTACCCTTGTACAGCAAAGAGCCACTTCACTTTCCCAGCTCTGATGACATAAAAAAAAAAAGAGAAATAAGAAAAAAAAAATGCCTGGATCATTGCATCCAGCAAGAGAGCGGGGAAAGAAAGAAATGCAGTGCTGGGATGCCACTCATGAGAATGATGCTGCTCTCTCAAAAACATAGCTGAGCTTTTGGCTCAGCTTCAGTTTTATCACATTTCAGTGTCCAGACAGCTGTCAAACGAATGACATGTTTTACATCCACCACAATTTGTACATTTTCATCATCCTAAAATAGCTCATGAAGCCTCTATTTTTTTATAGGCAGTTTCATTTGTAGCGTCTTCTTTTCTTAGGGTTGATCCGATGTTGCATCAGAATGATTGCCATGGGATTCCTATTAGGAGGGAGGAGGGAGGAGGGAGAGAGAGACAAAAGGAGAGAAGTGAAGGATACAGTACGGGAAAGAGAAATGGAAAGGATGGTAGAGAGGCATTAAGAGAGGAAGAGGGAGAGAGAGAGCAAGAGAGTGGAAAAAGATTTGTGAGGAGGGGGGAGGGCCGAGGGCCGAGGGCCAGCGGAGTCAGAGATAAGAGGCAGCGAGAGTGATTGAAATAGGATTAGTGGAGACAGTCTCTGCATCCCGGCCGCAGCATCACAGTGTTAAACCTGCGCTTCACAGGGACTGCCTCTGTCACATCAAAGCCTCCCCAGGCCTGCCTGGCAGAGAGGCAAAGGAGCTGCCAGCAGGGTCGTCCACAGCCACACACACACACACACACACACACGCACGCACGCACGCACACACACGATACATGAACATGCTGATCACATTCTCCATCCGTCTCCAATATGTCTCCATTATGGCCACGAAGCTGGCTCCTTCCACCTTGTCTTTTCATCTTGCTGCAGTGTCTTTGTGGCGGGTATTTGGACTGTGGATGGGATGCATTGATGAGCCATCTTTAACATTTAATGAGGCAAGCAGTGATGAGTTGGCATTGGAAAGCTACTGTCTCCCGCTTCCCCAGAGTCCAAACAAAGTTTTAATGAGAACTTTCCCCCAATTTGTGCCAAAAGCACTGAGCTTTTTAACTGCTTCCCAGACTGAAAGCATACATTTTTCACTTAAGTACTGAAGCAGGGCACACACCTGTGTGCAAATAAACAGATAGATATACAGGAACAAACACAATAACTAGCTCAGTGACTTGCATGTACATTAGAGCTTTATTAAATAAATATAATATTGTGATATAAGATTCCATCGTATTACTGGCATGAATCTTAAATCTCGTCTTTTCCAGGTGTTTAAACTGCATTAAAATAATAGTGATAGAATTTTCTGATCCTTTGTGAATGTTTTAGCTCAGTTTAAAGAGAAGTAAAACATTCAATATTTGGTTGTCATATTCATATTACTATTCATTTTTTAAAGTGGCTCTTAGTGTTTTATATGGATGATTATTATTGAGGCATTTACTTTAAAAGTTTAATTTTTGAGTTTTTCAGTGTCACCTAGTGCTAATTCCCATCTAGCTATTTTATCAATAAATAGTTTCTCAGCTGATTTTGAAAAAATATCCTAAATCTCTATGTATATCTGTATAGTGATATAAATCATCCACTGTGATAGAATATTTCACCCACATTGTCGGCTCTTACTTGTAAGTTCCTCTCAACGGATGCCGCAGCTGCTAACCCTGCTCTGCATGTTCTCTAATCAAGTGAAACTCACTGTTCCATGTTCATTTTGTGTACTTACGCTTAAGAGTGTCTCAGCGTGATCAAACATTGCACGTTAGTCCTGTTCTGTTGCGGTAGATTATGGATCCCTATAGCTAAAATAGCCTGTTTATCTGCTGAAGAGAGACAATTCACTGATTGGTGAGTGCTGTCTTCGTGTTCATATTTGTTTGTGTGTGTGTGTGTGTGTGTGTGTGTGTGTGTGTGTGTGTGTGAGAGAGCTGGTAGTTTTCCTCTCGGAGCTCATCAGTTCATATCCACCACCCACCCCACTGCAGCATGCAGTAAATAGAGTCTCCGCCACTCGTTGAGAAATGGCACAATTATCCCCTGCTGGTGAAATATGGGCCGGGATGCACCACTGCTTCTTCCCTACAGAATGTGTGTGTGTGTGTTTATGTGTGTATGAGTGTGTGCATGCCAAATGTACAGAGCATAGCTGCCTATCCTCTGCTCACTCAATGTGAAGATGCGTTCAACACACAGGGAATTGTTCTCACTTATGTGTTTACAGCATATACAGGCATGTACACATCACCTACACAAGTGTAATTGTACAAGCAAAAGTGCGGCTACACACACATATATAAATATATACAGTATATCCACACATGCAGATTGACACACACACACACACACACACACACACACACACACACACTCAAACAGTATTTACAGTGCTTCTCACCCCGCACACAATGCAACATGTTGCAGTTTTAGCTGAGACAAGCAGATAGAATAACTCACTGTCAGTCAGTCAGTAAGGTCAGTCTTTCAGTTCTGAAAAATTCATAGCAACCCACTGTGCACGCAGAGCTGTGGAATAAAGAAATGTAACACCTTTCAGTTTTGCAGGGAGCCACGTCAACAACATGTTAGATTATGAGTGCGGTGGACTTTATGCAGTTATGGCAATTTTTGTAGCAGTTTTGTATCGGGTTTCACAAGAACATTCATATACTGCATCTTCCACATCCAATGCTTCTCATGAATAGGTAAAAATTTTATTTTAACCAATGATTTTAACCAGATTATTATGCAATAAGGTAAATGAGTAATGTTATTGGGTGAAAGGAATCGTTTTTGGTAAATTTGCTTATTTTCCTTCTGGCCAAGAGATAGCTGAGAAGACTGAAACCACATTCACGTCTGTTCAGTACAAAACTGGAGCCAGCTGGCAGTTAGCTTAGCTTAGCATAAAGAACAGAAAAGAAGGGAACAGCTAACTTGGCTCGGTCTGTGGCTTATAAGATCCACCTGTCAGCATCTCTAAAGCTCGCTAATGAACATGTTATGTCACTATTCCTTTCTCTCACAAGTGAAGGACTGTGCTTCCTGTTCATAGTGAAGTTTTTAAATTTGAAAATAAGCAATTAAAACTGAAAATTTTGGACTGTATACTAATATAACAACGTAACTTTAAAGACTGTCCACTGTGCATGTCTGCTTTTAGACCTTTTGAAAATGTTCAGTGACTCTCTCAAATGTCAGAGGGCTGCACATTCATTTGAAGTCAGGCATACACATAATGTTATTAACCTCAAGTGATTTCTCTTTCCAATGGCTTTTGACATTTGTGCTACTTTGCAAATTGCTAGCTGCAACTAAATGGCAGAGAGTATGGAAAATAAAACATCTACTTTAACCACAGAATGGCAGTCCGAGTGAACGGCCCCACCTGTCAAAGGTCCTGTGGGTCATTCCGAGTCAAAAACACTCAATTTTATTTCTCTGTCTTTACAGGTATGGAAAAATAGTGTCAACCAAGGCCATTCTGGATAAGAACACCAACCAGTGCAAAGGTAAGTCATTAGTTTGTCGGTCTTGTACACCCACCTTGTTTCAGTGCACCGGCCATCACTCTTTAGGCTGTGTCTTGTCACAGCAATCCGAGTCCTTTTCAGACATCAGCCAATGAAGCCTTGCTCCGTAAATCAGCCATTTAGCAAGTAGCTGGCTCACACTGCAGGAAGGCTTCAGGTAAACAACCTGCTTGTGGATGGCGCTGCCCTGCTTCAGAGGATAAGCAGGCAGGCAGTCGCCGTTTCAGCCCCTCCATAGCTGCTCCTCCATTTCCTGTGTTGTCATATGGAAGACAATCTTTTGGTGAGTGTGTTTCTGTAAAAGGTCCATTAGTGTCTGCACAGTAAATTGTGCTCACATGCAGCGATGACATTAGTGGCTCGTTTAAAATTGTTTCTTGAGCACACAGGCAACACGCACTTACATGCTTGAACATACACGACCAATTAGAGGGCTAATAAGCTAGTTGGGATTAGATAAACTTTAATTACCATCATTGTTTCACTCACCTTCCCAGGGTCTTTGCTCTGTTTTCACTTCAGCCACCTGCATCAAACGGCTGTAAATACATTTCACACGCTTTTTATTTTTTGTGTAATCATTTGGTAATCAAGACCAACCTAGTCTTCAGTGGAGAAACAGGGAGAATGAGGGAGAGAATGGAGCGATAGAGGGATGAGAAAAAAAAAAGAGATTAGTGTGCTACTTGCCCCGAGGTGTCTGGCAGCACTGTTTAAGAGCTATTGAAGTTCCATCAATACTTTTAATTGCTTTTTGTGGTTTCCCGGGCTCTGAAGTGTGGCCTTTCAAGGTGAAGCTGTCTTCTTAACCCTGCTCCACACCTGAGTTTATCCTGCCAGGCATTCACTGGGTCAAAATGTTGCGGAAAAGAACCTCCGCCTTTTAGAGGATAGGAAAAAAAAGGGCTGATTATCTTGACGGGTCCTTTTAGTGAATCCTACGGGCTATTAAAGACAAGACTGGATGCATGTTAGTAGGAAGGATGTCTGTACAGGTCACAGGACACAGCGCAGGGTGGATTAAAGAGGAGAAAGGCACAGTCAAGGGAGGTTAGGCGGATTGAGACAGGAAAAGGAGGCGAGGCTCTTTCAGTTTCTGTGATGGAAGAAATACACTGTGCTCAATCACAGGTTATCCCTCTCTGTGTCCAGCTGACCTGAGTTATGCACAGCGCAAAAACATCAGCTCAACTTAGCACTGCGTTGTGTGTGAGACAATGTTTCCCATAAGTCACCCTCCTGGAATGCAGCGCTGCTGAAATGCCAAGAAGCAAATATAAGCAGACATATTTTATGAGTGGAAAGGATGGTCCTGCTCTGTACCCAGCGAGGGAGAGGGAGGTGGACAGAGGGGAGATATGTTCGGAGAGGAAGGAGGAGTGTGGGGAGTAACCTTGAGGAGAAAATTACAGTTCTTCAGTGTTTGAAAGACAAGTTGAGAAGAGAAGCTCCACAAAAACACAATTTCTACTCCTACAACTCCACATCTCTCCCGCTATCTCCTGAAAGGTGAGCGGGTATCAAAGCGGAAACGAGCCAAGCCGGTGTATTGAAGCCTGATGAGCTGGCGTGCGTCTGCGCTCCTGGCAACAAAGCCAAATCGACACATCGCCCTGATCTAGTCACGCATTGTTTCCAGTCATCTGACCCCCTGACCCTGACACTTGTTTAAATGTCAGAGAGGCTGCTTATCACCGCTGTGCCACCATCACACAGCGAGCATCCCTTACCTCTATTTCTTCTCCCTCTCCACCCCCCCGGTGTTATTTTGTGTTTAGTTCAGCTCAGTGAGCGCACTGCCAAAACAACGTGAGAAAAATGGGATAGAGAAGAGGTCAGAACCAGTCATCTCTGAGAGGGAGCTAGCTAGAGCGAAAGATCAACAGTCAGCCAGTGAAAAACAAGGAGGCTAACTTATCTCCTACTCACTGACTAACTTTTCCACTCTGTTTTAATTTTTAATTTTTTTTTTTTTATCATTCAAAAGCTTTGTCAAACACATTCACAAATTTTAATACTATGCTGTAATTATATTTTATTGATACAGTATATCCCTTATTATGATATACCTTTTTGATTTACTCTATGTCTTACGCAATCTGGTGTAGCCACCATTAGGCTGTACTGACATGAGCACCGCATGAACAAAAGCACACACAGCCCATTTCATGTCATTTCAGTACATCCATTGCTTCGAGGCAGTGAGGAGTGCAAATGCAAAGGGTTCTGGGGGAAAAAAAAAACACAAACACACACGCACACTAGAAGAGCAATAAACTGGCTCAACTTTTTCCACAGCGCGATGTGATGTTATCTGGCAAGGTGCCAGATGAAAACTTCAGTTTGTGATTTATTACGTTGTAATTTGTTGCGTAAAAAATCTTTGCATATGACGTTGTGGCAAGTAACTGTGCAGAGAATATGTTATTTGTTACAATGAAAATTACTTCATAAAGCACAAGCTTGACTGGCTATTTGAACTGGACATGTAGATCCCATACACAGTTTGGTGTTTCAACATATAGCAAGTTCAGCATGATAGATTCTCCTGGACATATTTGTTGGCAAAAGCTGCACCCAAAGCTGTTTGAGTCTTTGCATAAACTTTAGGATTATTGTGCAGGTTTACAGGTTTACAGGTTAGCTTGTTTACTTTTGCTACTGTAGGGATGTTTGTGTACATGTAGCTTTGCATACATCTACACTATGTATGTTCAATATTCTTAATTAATGTTTAATGCGGATGTATGCCTTCAGAGAAGTATTTCATTGGTTGTGCTGATAAAATGCCTATAAAAAGAATGATATCAGTGTGAGAGAGACGATAGGAGGATGGAGAGTGGATGATATGCGAGATGGAATAGTGAGCGTGGGAGTGAAAGCTGTCTGTTGTAGAAAAGCAGAACAAACAGTGATGACGTTTTCGGTACTTACAGGTCAGGTGTCAGGGAAATGCGTGTTTTAGCGTGCATACAAACATAGGCCAACACAGGTACGGCACCCACGCACAAACATGAACACATTGTTCCTCAACTACCGCACATCTATCTATACGTTTACCCTCACTGAATGAGTGTGTAAAGCCCTGTTTTGAGTACCACATCACAAAAACTACACACGAAGATCATGTAATACACCTCTCCCACGCACTCAAACACAAAGGGCACACTGTGTGACACACACACACACACACACACACACACACACACACACACAAAGACTAATCATACCCCCACACGCACTCCCCATCCATCTGCCTGAGGTGTGTTAGGCTCTTGCAGCAGCAGTAGCCATGCAACAGATCTATCAATCCTTTTCCTAACATCACAGTATGTGTGCCTGCCTGCCTGTCTGCCTGTTCTGGCTGCTCTCCTCCACCACGCAGGCCTTTCAATGAGCCTCTCTATCTTCCCAGCGCTGACTCACTCCCTCGCTCCCTACCTTACTCTATGACACACACACACACACACACACACACACACACACACACACACACACACACACACACACAGACACACACAGACACACACAGACTTGCCAGGGACAAACACACACACTCAAATTCTTGCAAGAGTACACAACAGATGCACATAAACTGTGCATGCTGATAAATACACACACACATGCTTTGGATGTAGCCCAGTTCAGAGAGAAATGGGAACAGGAAGTTGTGAAAAGGGCTTTAGGGCTGTCAAGCGCTGTGGGTGAGTGGAGGTCTTCAGCTCTTCATCTCTCTTTCTCTCTCTCTCTCTCTCTCTCTCTCTCTCTCTCTCTCTCTCTCATGCTCCTCCACACTCTCACACTGCTTCTCCTTCCCTCTTTGTCTCTGTTTTTCTCCCTCGCTCTCATGCTCTGTCCATCTCTATATCTGTCTGTGCACTTCCACATTTACTGTAGAAATACAGCAGAGATTTGGGGTTTGCATCACAGATGGAGTGGAGGATTGAGGATGGCAGAGGGAGAAAGAAAAGGAATAGATTGCGAGAACCCAAAACCGCTCATTTGCCATCCATGCCCACAAGGGCCTCTTAAAAGGCAGCGGCGGCATTTGAAATAAAGCAGGGCTGACCGAATGGAGACATTTTATTTTTCCTGCCAGTGCCCGGAGGCAGAGGAAATGACCTCAGCCCTTTAAAGGACCTCCGTTTCCTCCTCCGCCGCTGGGAGATAAGGCTATGCCGAGATTCACCGGTCTGACTGGCGCTCTGCCGCGACGGCCCACCGCACTGAATTGTGGGAGATAGATGAGATGAGAAGATAGTCTCCCGTGACTGTGTGTTTGGCACTTTGTTGTTCATTTCTTTGCCCAGTAACTTGCCATCCATTTTGTATGAGGATGCTAAAAACTCACAAGGGCATTACATAAACTTGCATCTTGAAAGAATTACCGTCGCCTCTTCTGTATTATGTGAGTGACTTGATGTAACACGCTAACTTCCTGTTTTGTCCCCTTTAAATAAAAATCACGTTTGAAGTATCCAAACATTTGGTTTAAAGTAACATATACGTCCGACTGAAGACCCCGGCCTTGCCTACAGTTCGTAAATTTGGACACACTGACTCCCTTGCCTGTTGAATGCTGAATAAATTTTTCCTCGCTAGGCTACATTCACTGAGCCTCAGTACTGTGTGAGCCTGTCAGAGGCTTGACCATTACAATCTGAAGCATCCTTTTCCCTTACCACAGGATCAAGCTAATGGAGAAATATAGGCAGTGTTACATTCTAACAAAACAGATTTATTGCTGCATCAGTGCCTGAGTGGAGTATTGCATGACTCCAAGCATAAGGGCTATTGATGAATGAGGTGACGCTCTCCAAAAAGGCCTGTTTTTCATTGTCATGTGCATGTGTATCCGTGTATTTGGGGTTGGATGGGGAGGAGGAGGGAGGGGTGGGGGAGAAAAGGGAGAGAGTGCTTTTTGCATTCGTTATTGGTTTCTCATTAGAGGGCCGAGATATAAACATTTGTCTATGTTG